ATAAAGATAAAGAGAGTGTATATTGGCATGTGTGTGAGAGAGAGGTCTCACATCAAGCACTTGGAGGACATGTTCTTCTTTCCTTCTTTTTATATGTAGAGGCAGATAGAATATGAGTCCGTGAGAGAGAGGGAAGCCTCACGTTGAGCACTTGGAGGTCATCTTCTTCTTTTTCTTCTTCTTCTTCTTATTGTAGAGCAAGAGCATATGGGTCCGTGTCTATACTTGCGTATGTGTGTGCATGTGTGAGAGAGAGGCTTTGTATTGAACAATTAGAGGGCGTCTTCTTTTTTCCTCTTCTTCTTATACTTAGAGAGAGAACACATGGGCTTGTGAGCAAGAAAAAGTGCCTTGAGCAGTTAGCCATTTTTATAAGCCTTAACTATTCTTTTATTTTTTTAAGGGTGTATGTTTTTTTTTTGGGGTGGCATTGGGCGCATAGGCGTTTGGGGGGCTAGATTGCCCCCGCAAAACCCTTTTACGAACTTTTTTGCCCTTGGTTGAGGACCATTGAGGCGCCCCCTCGGCGCCCGTCTTTTGGTGACTGCCTAGGCGGGTGCTTAGGAGCAAGCACGCCTAGGACGCCCGCCTAGGGCACACCTAGGTGTTTTGAAAGGCAGGCGGCCGACTTTTTGTACAATGTTTGAGAGTTAAGACCCAAAAGATGGCCATAGTTTTGACATGATCAGTCATGGCTTGCAAGTTGGAAAAGGAGCCTTGCAAAATTCTTCGATTACATTTAGGCCATGGAGTCAAAATTATGGCTAATTCAAACGAAAGTCATAGTTGTATCCAAGGAGCCGGAAGAGGTGGAGAGCCAACTATTGAAGAGGCTCTATACAGTCCTAGGTGTGATGTGAATGGGAAATTTGGCTTTTCTCATTCCATAAGCCTTTTCCTCATTTTACTCATTAGAAGAGAGGCCTAAGAAGTATTTTTTAGTAGGTGGAGAGGAAGTAGGAGATTTGAACAACATAAGTTAGAGAGAAAATAACCCTCCAGGTTTTAGGTGAGAGGGTTTTCTTATGGTAGTATATCTGTATCTTTTGGGGACACAGTGGTAGGGTTTTGGGGAAGATAGGCTTAAGTTTTTCTCCTTAGAAATCAGCTATATTGAGAGAGTTTGCTGAGAGGAGTATATATCAGAAGATATGTTTTAATGGCTGAGTGGTTTTTGGGAAGAAGGGAGCAGCCCATTTTGGTCTCAATTTGGGGTTTCAGCTACAGATAATTGGGTTTCATTGTTTGGTCCTTTTCCTTTCTTTTTCACTGTCCAAATGGATGGTGATGAAGCCAATGGACCATTGTTTTCCATGGTCTGGAGCTTACTAAAAGCAAAAACCTTTCTACACTTTTTTTGTTTGGGGCAAAGTGCAAACAATTTTTTCACTCTTTTTTTCCATATTCCTCTTTTTAATGGGTAAGGTGCAACTCACTCATTAAAATTTGCTATCAAGCCAAATTAATAAAATCACCCTTCCTTTTAATAAATGGGTAAGGCACACCTTAAAATCACCTTCCAAATTATGGTGTCAGGCAACTCTTTTTAATTCTGACACTGAAGTTCCCATTGAACGTTGGAATTCTTCCTTGTTGTATGATCATTCATTTGATGAAAGTTAGGTACTTAAGTTAATTGTCAAAATAGAAGTTATAAAAGTTGTGTTAGATCCTCTAGTCTTCCTTGTTTAGCTGTGAATGTTTCACACTTCTTGGCTCTATGGCAATGTTTCACACTTCTTGGCTCTATATAATTTTCCATTATCTTCCAAAAAATCCCTTTCTACTAGCAGGTTTCTCTTAGAAACTTCCTAATTCCTTCATCCTTTGCTTAGCGTATCAGATGTTTCATAATATGACTAAGTAGTTCTCAAACATATGGAGTATAATAGGGGTGTAATTTAAGATTAACTAAAATATATTTATATGGTCCCTCTTTTTCCCCCCATTTGGTAGATGTTGATTACAAGAGTGCTCATCATCGTTAAAGCCTTTTCCCAACAATTTGGCGTCGGCTACACGAATCTTGGTCTGCCATTCTGTTCTATCAAGGGCTATACCTGCAGTGAGACCATAAGTCACCATATATTTTCTCACTACTTTCAACCATGTCCTTTTGGGCCTACCCCTTACCTTTTTTGAGCCTTCCACTTGAACCAACTCGCACCTCCTAATAGGTGTTGTATTGGGTATGTGTTGCATACGGCCAACCCATCTAAGTTTACTTTTTCTCATTTTATCACCTATTGGAGCCACACCTAAGTTTTCTCAAATGTATTCATTTCAAATTGTTTCCCTTCTTGTTTTGCCACTCATCCATCTTAACATCCTCATCTTAGCTACACTCATCCTATGGGATGTTGTTTCTTGAACACCCAACATTCTGCCCCATAAAGCAAAACTGGTCTCACAACTGTTCTACAGAGCTTACCCTTCAACTTCATTGTTACGCGGCGATCACATAAAACTTCGGTTGCACATCTCCACCTCACACACCCAACTATAATTCTATGTGCGACATCTTCCTTAATCTCTCTATTTTCTTGGTTATAGATTCAAGATATCGAAAATGCCCTCCTTTTAGTATTTCTCAGCTATCAATATTAACTACTTTCTCCTCTCTGTTCCTATTATTATTAAACTTGCATTCCATATACTTGATTACAAGAATGCTAAGTTGGCTATATAGCTCAGTTGAAGAGTTTGGCTTTTGTGGGATGGGTTTTTAAAAGAATTGGCGTGTTTTCTTGAGTGATTTGTTTAGTACATGTTGTTTGTATCACTTGCTACCTTTGTTAGTTGAGCTGAGTTGGTTCTTTTTAAACCTTTTAGAGACTTTTGCTATTATCTTGGGTTTTGTGTGTCTTTTATTTGATGTAGTGGATATGTGTGAATAATTACCATTGGCGCATGCATTGTTGATTGTCATTATATTCTTCATCTATTATGGGCTTGTGGATCAACTAGGAATTCTTTCACTCTCCATGACTTCTTTGCATGCTATGGGTTTTTCTCTAGTTTCATTTTTCTCAATTTTTGTCTGAATTTTGTCCATATGGTTTCTTTGAACTATTTAGTTTGGATCGAAATCAGCAGTATCAAGTAAATGGAGTAGAGAAGACTATTGGATTTTTTAAATCATATTTGACCTTAGTTATTGAATATACGTGCAGGATTTCACTATTGGTAGGGCGCTGCTACTTGCTTTTCAGACCCTAGGGGTCGTTTATGGTGATGTTGGGACAAGCCCATTGTATACTTTCAGTGTGATGTTTAACAAGTGCCCTATTCATGGGGAGGAAGATGTCCTTGGAGCCTTGTCATTGGTTTTGTATACCTTGATTCTAATATCTCTAATCAAATACGTGCTTGTCGTGCTTTTGGCAAATGATGATGGTGAAGGTATGGGTCTAATGCTGGTTCTTGTGTTTTACTTATTCAATCATATTTGAAGGGTACTTGTGTCATGAATATCGCAGGTGGCACATTTGCGCTATATTCTTTGATCTGCCGGCATGCAAAGGTCAGCCTTCTGCCAAACCAACTTCATTCTGATACTCATATATCGAGTTTCAGGCTTAAGGTGCCTTCCCCAGAGCTCGAGAGATCATTAAAAATTAAGGAGAATTTGGAGACTTCTTTGACACTGAAAAAGTGGCTTCTTATGTTAGTGCTTCTTGGTACTTCTATGGTGATTGCAGATGGAATCGTCACCCCTGCTATGTCAGGTTTTATATTTACCCTCTATGGTTCATTTCTTTGTTAGAATTTGTCTGAGTATACTGTTTCATTTAGTGGCTTCTCTCATTCTTCGTTCGTTTTTGTATATTGCAGTCATGTCAGCTGTGGGTGGCCTGAAAGTTGGAATAACAGGAGTTCAACAAGGTGATTCTGTTAGATAATTGGGTTAAAAACTTAAAATACCTATTTCTTGCTTTTTTGATTCTCCTGTGACACTTGTCCTTCCCTTTCTTGTTATCTATGAAGCTAAGCCTGGACATTGTATTAGGGAAATCAAGATGAGCATCCACTAACTTTAACAATATTAGAACTGAATGAATTCTTATGACCATGTAAGGATATGTTGAAAGTTATGATTTTTGAGTTTTTGAAAAGATTTGTGTTGAACAAGTGGATATTAATTTTTGAAAGGCTCAGGGCGTGTTGGCGTGTGGTGTTAGTCACTGCACTGAAGTGCTCTACATGGCCTAATTGTAAAACACCTTTCAATAGTTTTCCACTTATGCTACTGCATAATCCGGCTGAGCTGTGGATGCTATCCTTGCACCAAGCACTCATTTATGTGGGCTTGGCACAATAAAGTCGCACTATACGTGATTTCTATGCCATCCAAAGAAGCCCTTGATGTTGAACTTGACTTTGTTTGTGGGAATTTATAGGGGCACTGACAATCTGCACTTTAGAACCTAGACAGTGGGAAGCAACTCTTAGGCTGGCAAACCTGTTGGAGACCAAACTATAATTCTCAACCATATGTATAAAAGACCCAACCCAAAGATGGTAGGAGTTGGAATTAAACCTGTTCCTCACCATCCCAAAGACATAAATCTAGGTCAGCTCAGCCCATCGCTAACCCCCTTGTCTTTCAAAAAAACTAATTTAGTCCCATGACTGTTAGATCTGTTGGGATCTATAACACTTCGCCAATGTCAATTCCCTAATAGAGCTTTATTTATTGCTCCTATTCTTCTAAACCCTTATTTGCTTCTTCCTTTGGTCTAGAACTACATTCACACTTCATAAGGTGGAATTGATATTCCTCCTACTTAACACACAGAAACTTACCTCATCCTCTCAAGATTCTCTATTTCTCCTGATGGAATCGGAAAAAGCAGAAATAAATTATATTGTCATAGTTCCCAGTTTGGACTAAGTGAAAGCCGATCGGGTAGCTAAGGATAACTGTTGACTCTTACATGGTGCTATTTCCTTTTGTTTTCGACCAGTTGATCCAATGTTTTTCTTCTTTGAATTACCTGCATAAAGAGGAAGACCTTTAGCAAGTACATTCTGATAACATGCTGGGGAATCCAATCCCAAAATCAAGATTGAAGATGTACCAGCTAGCTTGATATTTATAGAAATCATCAGATAATTAGTCTTATAGGTTTTAGCCTGAGTGGCATGGCACTACTAGAAACATGAACCATATCATCTGCAAATGGAGATTAGTGATTTGCGCATTCCCTGGAGTGGCTCTAGAGCCTATTATCAATCCAAGGACCGTTCAACAGTCCAATTATCTGCTGAAATTTTTAAAAAGGATGGTGAAGAGAGAGGACAATATGGATCCCTTTGCCTAAGCCCTCTAGAATATACATGGCAACCTTTGGTGATTGTTTAACCATTAATAAGTGAGGTATCATAGATGGGCATTCCTGGATCCTTCTTTTCACCTCTTCTAAAACCCAGGAACCAAGCAAAGAATTGGAGGCCTTATTGCACATGATCATGTAGTTCTCCTTATCAACATAGGTTCTCATTTTGAGTTATAATGACTTGCTTGATGCCGCTGCAAAATGCATGGCATACATGTTTTGGCTGCTGTTCAGGTGATCTCGAGAATGCAGGTCAGTGGCTTATGTGTGCACATACTGTTTCGCTATATTTGTTATCATCATAAATTAACACAACCCAACACAACATGGCATTAAGCCAAAGGCCAGAGATATGTCAGCCCAAATGTCACATGAAGCCCGGAAATCAATACGTGAACATGTATTCATCCTCAAACATGAGACAGCCTTGAGAGTGAATATATCCCCCAACTATGGCACAGAGCCCTTTGGCCACATATAAAAGGAGGTCATATCAAACGATTCGCAATCAGGATGAAACTTGGTGGCTTTTAAAGAGGAGTTTGAGCCTTCCCTCCAAATTTGGACCCCATTTAACCCAGTTTTTGTTGAGATCATTTTGGTCTAGACTGGGGGTGGTTTGACAAACCCTTGGCCTGCAACAGACTGTGCGAGCACCAGATTGCCAGTCCTAATTTCTTTTTAATCCTAGGGTGTTAAGAGCTGAAATTTGGTATGATGAATCATCTTTCAATGCTCCACAAACCGATACAAATATCAGGATGAATCATATTAATATCAAGAAACCAATTGAAGGTCAAATCAAGGGTAGGTCAAAATGGGTCTTCGGCATCATGCGCAATTGGGTTGTTCGAATGGGGAGAGTTCTTCCTTAAGATTCAAGTCACAAGATGTGCAACTCGATTTCCCACGATTCTTTAAGATGATTGGCGTAAAGCCACATGTAATAAATCAGATTTGGAGATCAAATCACCCCATTCCATACCACCAGTGGTTTGAATAATGGTCTGGCGACACTCGCCCACGAGATACCTTGGGTGAAATTGGGCCCTCCAAACTTGCTCCCCAAGTTTCTAAGGTGGGGGAACGCTAATTCAGCTTTCCTAGGTCTATAAATACCCCTTCGCCTTAGGGAAGAAAGGAAGAAGGAGATCAGTTTTTGAGAGAGCCTTCACCAAGAGTCTGTTACCATCTTAGAGAGCATAGAGGGAGAACCCATAGCATGAAAGAATTCCGAGAGTAGACAAGGGCGGTTGGGTGGTCAGTGCTTGCCTGTACCATCCCTATGGTTTCTCAGCGAGAAACTGGGTCTTAGCCAAGAGAATACCAATAACCTAATCCCTTTTTGAGGCATGAAAGAGGAGCAGAGGGAATTCAGTTGAGATATTGTCCCTACACCATTGGGTTCTATCTAATTCGATATTTTTTTTTTCAACTCTTATGTAGTGTGTTGGAAAACCTATCAACGGTTTTCCTCTCGCGAGTGAGCGGTTGGATGTGAATGAAACAGACTGCTCCCAAGTGCCTAATTCTTACTGAACCCATCAATAGGTATAACTTTCTTGTGATTTTGGATGCAAATCTTTGTGTTTCCTCTGGTTCTTTCGTTTTTGGAGTCAAGTTCATCAAAATCTTTCTTAAAAGACACTTTTCACATTCACACAGACCTACAAAAGACTGCTGCTTTGTGTATGAAAAAAAAAAAAGAAAAGAAGAAAGGACCTGTTTAAACTCTATATGCAAAAAGCTGTCTTTTCTGTAGATCTCAGTACGAACACAAACACATACAGCAGCCAAATTTTTCATTCAATTCTCTTGTGCTTCTGATTTGGCTAATCCTTTTTTGGGCAACATATTTCCATGTTTTCTACCTCTAATTTTTTTCACCACTTTCTAACTGTATTTTCCCTTTATTCTCAGTTGTTTCCAAATCGTAAATCTTTTCTTGATTTGTATTCTCTTCTTGACCTTTATTCCTGCACATGTCTCTGTAGTGCTTTTGTTAACATTATTGAACAAGGATATTAGCAGCCTTTTTTTTTTTGATAAGCAAGGATATTAGCAGCTTTGAATGGGACAAAATGTTATCGTGTGTTGACTGTCAGTCGGTCTTGTACA